TCGTGGTTGCTTACTTGAAGACTTGAAGAGTAACTATCAAAGCAGAACGTGACTAATTTGGGAAGTATAGTAGATTTGAGAGTTTATATAATTAAGAAATTTGGCAATGTGATAAATTATTACATTTGGTTTAGAGCTTAATGTATATTGAAATATAGTGAAGCATGTAATTATTTTGGTGGTAAGTAATTTGTGAGGAAATGATTGGGAATATGAAAATATTTTAACAATAGTTGGGATTAAATGATTAGTCCTGAAGTACGCTTGAATAATAGGATCATGAATCAATTACTTATACAATTATGAAAAGATATATAAAGGGTTATTGTGTTCTGATGATTAGTTGGAGATATTGGAGTTTGGAGTTTAATTGGAGTGGTTTTGTATTCATATTTATGCATACATGGAATGAATATATCAGCATAACAGGACATATAGTTAACGCAGATTGTAGGCGTCTTCGGGCTGCGGTTTCATAATCGGTTAACGGGTTGGAGCCGGGAAAGGGATGTTTACAATGATGCTTGGTGTGTAATTGTAGGCATGTTTAGTTTGTTAATGATTATAATTTTCTTAATAATTTTTTCTTGTTCAATTGATGATTATTGGTAAATTAAATTAATGGATACTTTTGTATATATTTAAACAAATTAATAATATATATAATATATATATATATATATATATATATATATATTATATATATAATATATAATTGTATTGATCAAAAAAATGAAAAGAGAACGGAGGATATATAATGTATTGATCAAAAAAATGAAAAGAGAACGAGGACTTACAGTAGGCCGAATATGGTCTACACAAATATCATTACATTAATGTGGATGTGGTATTTGTCTTCTAAAGCAACCTAAGGAAGGGCATATAGCAACCCGAATTTCAGATACAAATATTATCAATAGAAATTGGAATAACAGTTATGCCAATAATAAAAGACAATTTACGTCGCCTATATTAAAAACAAATATTGTCATCAATTTTGGACGACTAATGTCCCACATGGGGAGATAACTTATGTCTCCTATACTAATGACAAGTATTGTCATCAATTTTGGGATAACTGACATCCCATGTAGGGGTACAACTATGTCACGTATATTAAAAATAATTATTATCATCAATTTTTAGGACCACTGACACCCGATATAAAGGAATAAATACTATTTATATTTTTGGATACAATTTTCGTGCTTTATGTGATTATTTTAAGACAAGTGTTGGCTAAAATTAAAAGGATGATGTATGACTCTTAAGTTGAGGATAATTATTATGCACTAGAAAATGAATGATTTATTAAAACTTATTCCCTATGGAATAAGTACGCTCATTAAGAGGACGCTCATGAGGGATGATGCTAATTGTCTCCAAATTATTGAAGACAATTTTTTTACGATTACATTGACAATTTTGAACGTCCTCTAATATACTTTTTTTGTAGTGTAAATTAATTGTAAGTTACAAACTTTTAGAACTACACATTTATTTAGTTAAAGTCGAACAAAATTCAAAATAGAGGAAAAAATGTAGTTCCATCTGAACAATTGGAAATTCTTGTGTTGAAAAGTTTATCACAATTGGCGAGCATATTTATTGGAATGGTTTGACACTATGATTATCGATAGAAAATTAAGGAAAATGCCCTCAGTCCAAAAAGTTACAACTCAACTTTAATTAGGGATGGCCATAGCTTCAAAACCTTAGGTTGATGTTCCAAAAAATATGGAACTAGTTTCGATTGCGGTTTGAAGCTGGACAATTATGGACCCGGTTTTGATTCTTTAACGGTTCTAAAACTGACGGTACATATAGAAACATCCTTTAAAACTAAGGTCTTATTATTTCCAAACTAAGACAACTATTCCCTATAGCTAAACCGCAAATTCAGTTCCATCTCATACGAAGATGCTAACCTCTCCTTCACTTAGATGGCACATTACCTGAAACCCCTGTAAAGAATTGCAGATATGATTAGTGGTTCTTGAGTCTACACACCGTCAGAATATAGACAACACCGCCAAATATGTTTCAACTACTAGTACATGAAAAGAAGACTTGCCTTATGTTTTCTTCTTGGCTAAATAAGTTAAACATTTCTGCTTCCAGTGTTCCTCTTGCTTGTAGTGGAAACACTTGCCCTTAGGCTTTGTAACCCTAGCACCAACAACTACAGTAGCTGTTCTTAGCTTAGGTTTATGAACCTTTTTCTTTTTCTGAACCTTTTTATGGCCAAAAGTATAACCTTTTTTCAGTATTAAGCACAACAACTTGAGAATACGGTTTTAGGAGAGTTTATGCATCCTACAACTCATTCAACAATATCACGAAGGAAAAATCCAAATGACTCATGTTAATAATGAAGGCAAAAATGCTGAAAAGTGTCAGGCAGTGTCTATAGTAGCATCTCCACCTACGATTCCTTATCAATCTCAGCACCTAGGATCTCTAGTTCATTCAAAAAACCAATCATTCTCAGAACATGATCCCTAACTGGAGACCCCTCAGCCATCTTAGTAGTCAATAGAGCTCGCACGACAGTTTGTTTAGCTGCCCGAGTCTGATCTCCGAACATCTGCTTAAGGCTTTTTAGGATGTCATAGGCAGATTCCATAGACTGATGCTGATGTTGCAATACATTGGATAGATGCCAAAATGTAACATCGTGCCATCTCATCAGCCTTAATCCACCTTTTGTATGGTTTCTGTTCTCTTTGGAAGCAGCATCAACAGGTTTCTTAAGACACACCTCAATAAGAACAAACTTATATTCCTCAACAGTTAGCACAATGTCTAGGTTCCTCTTTTAGTCAACATAATTAGGACCCTCTAGCTAATTTTGGGTAAGAATGGTAACAAGTGGGTTAAAGGAAATCATATTGAATCTAAGAGACATTACATTCATAAAATCATCATCACAACAGTATATTAATAACATAGTAAGACTGAACTTAAAATTACAATTACAATATCTCATATAATTACAGAATCATACAATTGCAATTGTATTAAAACTTAGCAAGCATTATACCAACAATAATGAACGGTAAATCTCGATGGAAAATATCATTGCTCAACATAAATGCTAATCAAATAATGAAATATATGAAATTTTATTCCTATAAGAAATAACAACTCAAATGGAGAGACATTTCTATTAATTATAGTCAAGTGTATTCCATTACCTAAACTCGTTTCATTGCCCGTTAATTAAAATATTCAGATAGAGAATAAATCAATATGGACAAACACTAGAAAGCTATGCTTAGTGAACTTATAACACAACTAACCCGTTGTGGAATTAAAACAAAGTTATCTCACATACAGCTAGTAATAGAGACTATGGGATAAATTTAGTACCCTCACCTAGGCATGGCCACCGGTTCAGTTCTAACCGGAACCGAACCTGTAGACGAACCAGAACCGGCGGTTCAAAATTTTAAACCGGAACAGACGGTTCATGCGAATGTTAAAAAATGAACCTGAACCGGCCTGGAACCGGCGGTTTCGGTCCGATTCGAACCGGATGTACAAACAAAATTATTTGTAGCTTAAAATTTTTTTAAATTTTTATAAAAAAATTTATATTACTTGATTTGATTATAGTTGACTTGATTTAATTTATGGTGAAGAGAAGTACACAATGGTACATAATTTATAAAAAGTGGTGAAAAAAAGTACACTTGATTTGACTTAATTTGTACAAAAAATGGTCTTGATTTGATTATAAGTTGACTTGATTTAAATTTATGGTGAAAGAGAAGTAGACAATGGTACATAATTTATAAAAAGTGGTGAAAAAAAGGTAACAACTTGATTTGACTTAATTTGTACAAAAAATGGTACATGAATAGTTGATTTTGTAAAAAAAAAATTAAATAATTTCATGTGTACAAAGAAGGTAAAATGGCTAGCTTGAGCTTGAGGTGACTTTTATTATTATTTGTTTTTTGGTAAATAAATTTTATTCATTTTTAATGCAAATTTAATTTAATTTATTTATTATAATTTACTAAATTAATCCAAATATAGTTGTTATTTTTCTGTTATATGGGACAATTTGGAAGCACTAATAAAATGAAAAATATGTATAAATATGATGAGTTGGAATGATTTTTTTTTTAACAACGCAATTATATCCTAACTCTCCTCTTATTCTCAATCAAAATTCTCTCAAAATTTGCAATAGTTCATTATTTTTTCTATTGCTTTATTTTCTTAAATATTGGAATTATCTATTGTTTATTTTTTATTTTCATACATCCAATTCTAAATTCCATCTAATCTCAATTTTTTCATTCATAAATTTACTTCATTTGATTTTTTTACCACATAATTTTCTTAGTATTTGGAAACATTTAATAATTTTCCAACTCATTCGCATTAATTTCATATTCCATTTTATTCATTTTTTTCCATAATTTCATTTCAAAAAATATGGCACACAATTCACAAAGCTTTCAACTCCAAGGGAAAACGAGTTGCTCAAAGCGTGGAAGAAATTGAATTCAAACGATCAATTGATTAAATTTTCATTTCACAAATTTTAATGTGAAGTTCAATATCAAGACTCTAGTTGAGGAACGTTATAATCCGATGTCATCCACCACAAAGAAAGAAGCAACATCTCCTATAATTTCAATAGGTCAAACCCACAAAATCAGATATTTTTCAAGAAGCACTTTGTCGAAAATTGTTCAAAATAACGGAAGAAATCAATGCCGAGTTTGATGTAATTATTGGGCCAAAAGATCATGCCATTCAAACTTGGAGGAGGCTATGGCAACTTTCAATAGGCATTAAAATTAAATCAATCCAAGTGTTAGGTAGGAATGGATGTAACTCAAACTCAATTATCGTCATCAAGGTATGGTGATCCACTCCCAACTCACTCTTTATTTAAATATATGATGAAAACCAAATAAAATTCGAAATGGCTAAAATGGTTTGTAATGGATCGGATTATTTTTTTAGTTTGGTGAAAATGGTTTGTATGGAACGATTATCTTTTTTATTTGGTGAAAAATCGAAAGGCGTGCCTTTTTCGAGCCTTAGGCGCAAAAAGGCGCACGCCTCTACCCAGAGGCGATAGCTTGAGTGAAGTCGCCCGCCTCAGGACTGTTGAGGCGCAAGCCCTTGAGCCTTAAGCAAGGCACACCTCTGAGGCGCGCCTTTAATAACTATGACTTTAATCGTCCAGCATCAATGTGATAATTCCATAGAAACTATATAAAATCAGTAATATCAATAGCTCTTACATGTTCTCTTAAACTGCATGAAAACCAAACACATCAGCTAGTTATAGTAAGACCAAAGACATTCTCCATCCTCCATTAATCAAAATCAACATCTTCTTTCTAATCTTAGCGAGCTTCATACTGAACAACTGCAAGAGTCAAATTTTTCATGTTAAACTATGAGTTTAAGCACTGGTAAGTCTAGAGTCAAGGAAGGTTAATCTGCATTTGACAAAACCATGGGATTTGCTGAAATCTAGACGTGTAAAATATTAACATGAGTAGCTCAATTTGCAATTTTTAACATAAGAAGTCCACATACGTACATGCGGGTGACGTGCCTAATAATTGTATGCAAAGTTCCACAAAAGAAACAAGCACTAGATGCATGATTTTAAATCGTGGTCCCGGTTGTATTTTAAATGTGTCAGTATGTTGCAATGGACTGGTATTATAACTTTTTTAGAAAAAAAAAATCACAATTATACGAATTAAATATGAAACAATTATTTATTAAAATCTCACAATTAATTAACTTTTAAGTATTTAACTTGAAATATTGCTGATAAATGCATCCAAATGAAATACAAAAAATAAAGGGCTTACATAGTTTTAAAACCCACTCATTTTGATGATCCACAAGTCATCGCAACCAATGACGAACTTTTGATGATCCACAATTAGTGTTACCACTAAGTTCCCTTATTTTTTATCATCAAGTTCAACAATTTTCCAATTTGGTACTCATATGCTTATTCCTACTTCTGTTTTCCTCTGCCCTTGCGTTCTTTTGTCACACATGTTCTAAATTTTTCTAGTTACCCACTTCTCAAACATGCATATATTGTCTCAAGATACATATTTTTCCCTTTTTTAGGCTTAAATTATCAAATAAATTTTCCTTCAAGAACTCACAAGACCGCTGATAAGATTTTAAACCCAAAATAAGGTTAAATAAGAAATCAAAAGCAAAACCTATAAACAAAAATAATTAAATTAATAAAATGTGAAAAAAATTGCATACTTCTACGGGTGCGTTTTTTGTAGAGAATACGGTATCCACACTCTCGGCATTGGATAACATCTCCTGGTTTTAGAGTATTCTCCATTCCACAATCTAAAACCCCAAAATACAGTCAATTCTTTGTTAATCACTAAATATTAAAACCATATAAACAAAATTTTAAAAATCATGAATCACATACCTCCACAGATGTAGCTGACTGGCTCTGGTTGAGGATCCATTTGTCTGGGTTCTTTCTAGGGCTTTGTCTGCTTCTGTGCTAAATTGAAAACAAAGGTTTTTAAAGTCTATTCGATATATATATACATCTCAAATCTTCCAATGAATGCATAAAAATAGAATAAAAAATTACAAGATAAAAAAAATACCCAGACAGAGAAACGCTGTTGTGTCCTTACTTTACAATACTATTCATTACATGTTTCATTATGTTGTTTTGTGTCAACTTCTACTACAACCATCAACAATAATTAGATAAAGAAATAGAGGCTTTAACCAAGTGCAAATGTGAATATTTAAAAATCAAAGGTCCAAGTTTAATTTTGATTCATGTTGGGTTTAAATTTTATTTGTAATTGCTTTTTTTTTTTTTTTTTTTTATTGCTTTTTTTTTTTTTTTTTTTTTTTTTTTTTTTAATTTATGGCAAGTCGCCTCTTAATAAGTAAATGAATTTATATTCTTAAAATAGTAAATCTAAGTTTTCAATTTTTATATTTCAATTTGATATTAATAATATATTTTCTTGCACATTTCAAAAGAATACATATTAATATATGAAAATATTTCCCTGAAACAAATACTTTGTTTTATTTATTTATTTATTTGGGTTTTACTAGTTGCTAACAGGTAGTGTGGAGTTAACCTGTGAAGGATATAGATACTCGGGTCCTATTAACCTGAAGCTACAAGATATTCAGATGAAATACCAGCTTCTTCCCCTCTTCAGAAGTATGTTCTAAAAAATGGATATAGTATATTGGAAAACTCCCAAGCATTCGTCCAAGCAAACACATGTAAGATAATTCACACAAGAACTATAACAAATAATAGGAAGAGAGCTTGAAATTCCATTACAATGCAAGAACAAGATGAAGTGCCAGTATCAAATACAAATTAACTTCTGTGATAATGAGTATAAATATATGTTCATGACACATACAACCAAAACTGTAACTTGCAGTTCTGATCAGTAATGAAAGGACTGTATTCTAATTCACAAATATTTCAAAGGAAATTATTGGAATACCCCACGATGATAATATAAAGCAACTTCACCCAAGAATATATACAGAAAAGACTCTACACTATGAAAAGTTCCATGTATCTCCACCTATCAGGATGCAAGGTTAGAAAAATTAAAAACAAGCATTACATTTTCATAGGTCTCAACAGATGGATATCGTTGTATCCTGTTACCTTGCTATAATTTACAATTGGTGAAGAAAAATGCAGAGTTCTTAAACAAAGTTCATAGTCATGTTCAACATTAAATAATTGACAAGATGAGGTTAATCCAGCTCATTTAACTTAAATCAGGTAAAGAAATTTATTATAGTCCCAAGAGTCTAAAAGCTTCACATAGAATGAATGTGCATATTACATACAAATTACAAAACTCAAAAAAAACACCCAGAACAAAAGTACACTTGTTGAGGCCAAATAACATCCGAAACCTCAAATTGCTCTGTTTTAACATCTCTACTCAGAGGCACAGATGAAGTTAATAACTAAAATATGAAAATCACATGAAAATTATCAATAAGCATAAAATAAAAAAATAAAAAAAAAAAAAGCCCAGAAACCAGTAACCACAATCCGTCTCAGAAAACAAATTACCAGGTCCAAAGCATTAACAACTCTTTCTTATTTTCAACAGAAACAAAAAGCAAAAACTTACACAAACCAATTTCAACAGAAACAAAAAGCAAAAACAACAAATCCCATAGAATCAAAAAATTCCAAAATGAATTACCTGAAATTCAAGGATTTTAATTGTAGCTAAAGCTGACTATTGGACAGATTACGAATTAAGAGGATAGATTGAGCTCAAGTTTTGCATAAAACGTGCGAAGGAGAGATTCTAAATATGTTGAATTCGGAGAGAGGCAACAAAAGAGAGCAAAGTAACGGTGAGCATTTGGTCAGTTTGGTTCAAGTGCAAACCAAATAAACCAAATTATTATACCGAGAAACCGAACCGACCAATTTTTCATAATGAACTGAATTTATTCAATTTTAAAACAGAAAGCAAATTTTCTTTTCTTTTTCTTTTTTTTTTTTTTTGGACCAGAAATCTGAAAACCTGAATTATCCCAAACAAAAACAACACAAAATCCCAGAAATCTGAAAAGTTGAATGATCCCCAAATAGAATCACTTAAGTTTATATTATTTACAATATCTCGAAGGATCTAGCCCTTTTGAGTTTTCGAATCAGCATGACTTACTCCAATAATGAAATAGTAGTTGCTGCTGCAACAAAAATGTCAAGCTTTGGCACATTAGCTACTATCGAATATGCCTTTTGACAACAAGTTTATTACCAAATAACTCAAAGGAAATCAAAGAGATTAAAAAAGAGGAATCAAAAGCTTGTTTCAGGGCTTCAAAATGCAGGAATAAACTGGTTGAAAAGCCATTGCTGGGTTTAAATAAGGCATCTGTTAAGCTTATAAACTTTTGAAGCAGAAAAAGCGCAATGGAAATTGCTTTTAGTTGAAGTGGGGTTAAATATCCCTCATGAATATCCTCCATCGCTTTGAACCAGGCTGGTTTAGGATTTGCTTTGCAAATATATCAGAAGAAATGCTAAAAGTACCATATATTATCCCAAAATTCCATGAATTTTTGAATTAACTATCCAAATCACTTAAATTTCACCCAAATCAAAGTATAATGTAGTCAGAAAAAAAATATCAAAGCCACTAACAACATGAAAATCAGGACTAAAACTTCATTAGAGTAAAATAACAAACCAAACAGTCACTCCCAATTTAGCATATAAGTTCATTTTTCTTAAAAAAATAAAAAAAAAAAGTATATGTTTACCAAGAAAAAACTAACTCTATATCAAATTAACAGCAATTAATCAAATCGCAAGAAACAACTCGATCTACTTCAGAAAGAGTGTCAAAGAAGCATTAATAGATAACGTATCATTGATATTATAAATTTCTAACAGAAATTAAAGTCTGAAACGGATCGTAATAAGTTTGAGGATTAATTATCCAAATCAAAAATCCTAAATAACAGAAATAATACCTACCTGAGAGTTTTACGAAATTGATGCTGGAAAATAGGTAGTGAAACGGTATACTCCAACCTCAGTGAACGGGCAAACGGCAGTGAGCCACAGAGAGAGAATCAGAACGAAGAAGATGGAGAACGCTCCAAGTCGAAGAGAGAAAAAAATTACGGGTTTCGGTCCTTCTACCAAACCGGAGTCTAAAACGCTGCTTTTCAGGAAATTAGGTCCCTGAACAGTGAATAGCATGGCCGGTTCAGGAACCACTGCTTCCACCGGTTCGGAATTTTTAAAATATTAATCTGAACCGAATTTTAAACTGTTGATTTCAGCTTGAACCATCAGTTTCAGATTGAACCATCAGTTTTGGTTTGATTTTAATTCGGCTAGTTCCATCACGGTTACCATAAGCTGACGGTTCAGATCATGATTCTAGCAACACCTCTATTATTTTGCAGAAAAATAATGGAACTTTGGTTTTAGGATTACATCTGTTTTCCAAAAAACTTAATGTGAATTTAAAAATTAAAAAATTTTATTTAAAATAACTGTTAGAATGTTTATACTCATATAAGAAATAAAATAAAATTTATTGAGTTTGCAAATAATTACAAAATATTCAATAAATTATGATTGTATTATCTAAATAATATTATTAATTAAATAAATTGTTAGAAAAATGAAAAGAAAAAAAATGTAATTTTGGACTAAAGAAGAAAAAACATTGTTCAATTACCATCTATATCAAACAATATAATTTTAGATTATGTATTTCACGTTTTTAGACTTTTAGCTTTTTAAGTAAAGTGAATCAGTCAGTAATCTATTTGGAATTTTAGCTATAGGATAGACTAGGTGATTAAAAATTTTGCAAAATAAAAATAAATATTTTATTACAATCGAATGAAACCGCATTTTCAAGTCGGTTTAAATTTATTTTTTAACATTAGCATTAACTTTAATCAACCTTTGAATTGTCTATTTCAGTTTAAAATTTTGAACCATTAACTTTCAGTCGATTTTGGTTCATCTATACTGTAGTTTGGTTGTGGTCAGAAGAAAACGGAGGGTAGACAATGGTTAGAAGAAAACGGAGGCCATGTTTACCTGAACTTCTCATTTGGAGAAAAAAAGCTTAGGTTTGACCACTGGGCAAATTGAACGTGAACTTTCATAAATTGAGCTAAAATGACCACAATCGAAGGAGTCACGCATTTGGTTCACATAGTCAATATCTTACAAAAAACTGTTAAAAAAGGTTTTTACAAAAAGCTTTTACAGGTTATAACTCACCTGGAGTAATTGGCAGTTAGGTATTCGCAGTATCAAGAAACGACCGGATAGGTATGTGGATACAGTGGAATGGATTAGCTTGTTCCCTAATTATAAGGTTAAGCACTTATTCTCGCAGGGGTCGGACCATTGCCAATTCGGTTTCAAGGGGATAACCATGGAACTAGTACCCGAAAATCTCAAAGGCCATTCAAATTCGATTACATGTGGCTTCACAAGGAATCTTGCACTTCAACCGTGAAAAAAGCTTGGACCGGTTCTTCTTATGAGTATGATATTTGAAACGTGGGAGGCAAAATAGCTTTTTATGGGTAGATCATGAAACAGTAGGAACGTGCTGATTTTGGGTCTGTTACGCGACAAATGGTCGACTGCCAGAAACAATTCCATCATCTCCATCGGAGTGCTCAAACTGAAAGTTGTATTAGTCGACAACATTAGATTTAAAATCACCTAAAAGAATTGTTTGCTTATGAAGAGCTGATGTGGAGTCAGCGGTCTACAGTCTTATGGTTGAAAGATGGAGATATGAACACTTCCTTTTTCCATTCTAAGGCGAATTTTAGAGAAAAAAAAAAAAAAAGAACATGATGGTCAGAGCATGGAGGGGTTATGGTTGATTACTATAGAAATTTATTTACTTCTTTTAACCCATCTGATTTTGATGATGTCCTAGAGAAAGTAGAGAGCAAGGTAATGGTAGAGATGAACATATATTTATCTGAACCATATACAAAGGAGGAAATTCTCGTCGCTTGAAACAAATGCATCTTTTAAGGCTCCAAGTCCCGATGGTATGCCTCCTTTCTTTTTTTCAAAACTTTTGGCATATTATAGGTCCTTCTGTTCAGAAGCTTTTGTCTATTTTGAATCATGGTGATTCGCCTTAGTCCCTTAACCACACTTTTATTACCCTTTCCCTAAAATTAATAATCCATAATTCACTTAGGATTTATGACCAATTATTCTATGTAATGTTATGTTTAAACTCATCATAAAAACCATAGGTAATAGGTTGAAATCTATTCTACCTCATGTCATTAATGAATCCTAGTAAGCTTTTGTTCCAGGTAGGTTTATCGCAGATAATGCTTTATTGGCTTTTGAAGTTTTCCATCATATGAAAAATAAAAAGACTATTAAGAATGATCTGTTGGCTTTAAAGTTAGATATAAGCAAGGCTTATGACAGGGTAGAATGGTGTTTTTTAGAAAAAGTTATGTTAAAAATGAGTTTTGATCGAAATTGGGTTACTTTAGTAATGAAGTGTTTGTCCTCTGTTTCATATTCTCTATTGATCAATGGGGAGCTTTAAGAAGCTTTCGTTCCATAATGATGACTTCGACAAGGTGATCCATTATCACCATATTTATTTCTAATGTGTGCAAAGGTTTTTTTGGCTCTTATTCGATGGGCAAAAACTGAGTGGCTCTTGCATAAAGTTAAGGTTTACAAGCGGGCCCCTCCTCTTTCTCATTTATTTTTTGCAGATGATAGTGTAATTTTTGCAAGAGCAACTCAAACAGAAGCTTATGAGATTTTAATGATTATCTTGGATTATGGAAGAGCATCAGGGAAATATGTTAATTTGAAAAAATCTGATATTTTTTTAGGTAGAATATTTCATTGGAGGTGAAAGAATCCATTAAAGTCAGGCTCGGAGTTAGGGTTATCGGTCATCATAACAAATACTTGGGATTACCAGCAATTATTGGGAGAAAGAAAAAACAACCATTTAGTTTTCTGGTTGATAGGATTGCAAAAAACTAGCTTCCTTGAAAGAAAAACGCTCTCCAAGGCAGGTAAGGAGGTATAATTAAAGGTCGTTATTCAATCTATTCCTCGTATACCATGAGTTGTTTCTTGTTGCCTTAGGATATTTGTAATAGAATTGAATCTCTTATGGCCTAGTTTTTTTGGGAAGAAAAGAAAATGAGCAAAAAAATCAATAGAGCACAATGGAAAAAACTTTTTTTATTGAAAAAAAAAGTGGTTTGGGGTTTAGAGACTAAAAATGTTTTAAGATGGCTATGTTAGCCAAACAATGTTCGAGGCTAGCTACCGATGATAATTCTTTTTTATCTAAGTTCTTAAAAGCTAAATACTACCCAACTCGATCCTTTTTAGAGGCAAAAACAGGTACACAACCTAGTTATGCTTGACGGAGTCTCATGGAAATAAGGTGGCTTATCAGGAAGGGTCAAGATTGCTTATTGTAAATGGTAGGGATGTTAGAAACTGGAGAGATAACTGGCTGCCTAATCAATCTAATTATAAAGTGCACTTTGGTTTTAGACGAGAAAGCCACGATCCATGAGTTAATTGATGCAGATAATAGAGGATGAAATTTTCCTCTTGTAAATTTCATCTTCCTCCCATAAAAGGCGACCCTTATATGTAGTATCCCTTTATGTTTCAACGGGATACTGATGTACCTGTATGGTCGGCTATAAAAAATGGCTTTTTTTAGTTCATTCAACTTATCTTACTTTCCACTCTTTAGTTCCATCTAATTTTGCATGTTCTCTAGCTATACAGATGGATCCCTTTTGGCAGCATCTTTGGAAGCAGCATGCCTCTCCAATAGTGAAACATTTTATGTTTCGTGCTTATCAAGATAAATTGCCCTCTGTGGTGAACCTGATTCGAAGACAGTGCAGGTTGATCCGATTTGCGTTACGCACAGCGAAAGGGAGGAGACATTGGATCATGTTTTGATGGATTGCCTAAAATCACAGCGAGTGTGGTTGCTTAGTACATTGTGCCTTAATACATGATGGTCATCTATGTTTTGAAACTTGGATTAACTCGATGGCAGCAGTGTTTAGGCCTAACAACTGCAGTTATATTTTATGTTAGCCTGGTTAACTTGGCGAGGATTGAATGTTTGGATTCATGAGAGGAGAAGGATGTCGAAAGTCCAGATTCTCAACCTTACTATGACATTATGGATTGAATTTGCGACTCAAGCGAATGTGGTCAAAGTGCCGAGAGCTAGTCGGGACCGAGACAAATATAGCCACTTGATGCAACCTGTACAAGGTTAACTGTGACACAGCCGTGGGTGTTGATGGTAACTACGATTTTGGAATGGTAGTTAAGAACTCAATGGGAGACGTCATGGTTGTTGGGTCTTTGAAATGTTCACTCTCCTTATCGCCAAAACAAGCAGAGATGGAAGCTGCCTTTTTTGCTATATATAAAGCCACCGAGATGGGTTACATGATTTCATTCTTGAATCAAATTGTCTATCCCTATTAAACAACTTGAATCGCAATTTGTTCCACGCAATGAGTTGGGTACAAGGATTCTTAAATGCCTCCTAGCAGCTAATCAATGTTCTATTCTTTTTTTTTTTTTTTTTCCTACATGTGTATAGGGATGGTAATAAAGTTGTCCATTCCCTTACTAAGCTAGCTCTCTCCCTTGATGTTGAGGAGCAACTTTGGATAGAGGATGTACCTTAATCTATCCTTCTCTTGTTATGGATGATAAGGTTTTTTTGACTCTATAAAAGTTCTATTTAAAAAAAAAATAATAATAATAAGTTTCACCTTGGTAAAAATTTATTTTTAATTAAAATTTTTAGAGAATTATATTTTTTTATTAATGTGGGATTAATTAGTTATTAAGAAGTTTTCTCACTCACTCTCTCTCTCTCTCTCTCATTAGTTATTAAGAAGTTTTCTCACTCACTCTCCTCTCTTCTCTCTCTCTCCTACTCTCTCTCTCTCTATATATATACTATATATATATATATATATATATATATGTATTAAGTAGAGTTAGTTGCCTTATATAGAAGCCTAGTGTAATGTAACATCCTCTTGAAGTGAGTCGGTTGAAACCAAACCTGGTTGGGGTAGAATGGATGATAAGTGGATCTTATTTGCATGGAAAGTTTAGGACTTGTTT